ATGGGAGACCACCAAGGAAGTGCAGGGTCTCCAGGGGTCGTTTCGTAGAAAAAGAGCTAGGGGAACTCATTAGCATAACTCATTAGCATATGCCACACCCCCTGACATCACCGGAAGTGTGTCATACGGCCACACACCCCGCCCCCAACGGTCCCGGCTGCCGCCACCGCTGGCCTTGCAGCTCCACTGCCGAGCCCCATGAGGGGCCCGGCGGTGGACCTGCAAGGCCGGTGGGAGTGCAAGGAAGCCCCGCGAAGGCCCTCCCTGGCCCCAGGCAGGCAGGGGTGGGGAGAGGCAGGGAGGAAGCAACTTACCCTCCCTCTTCTCCTGCCTCCTCCTGGCTGAATGAGGGCCGGAAGCGGGGTGGCCGGAAGCGGGGGGCGGGGCTTCGTCATGTGCCCTGCCCCCCGTACCTCACCCGGGGGAACTGCGATCCCCCGCGATCCCCCCCGAAATGACCTCTGGGGGTCTCTATGCAGAGAAGGCAGCAGCAAAGCACATCTGAGCGTCTCTTGCCTTGAAAGCCCTACGGAGTCACCATCAGCCAGCTGTGACTTGATGGTAAAACCAACCACTAACCAACCAACTAGGAGAAGCAAAGGCATTTTAAAAAAGCAGAAAACCAGGGACAATGCCAATAAATTTCTGAAGGGGAGCGCAAAGGGTTTGTGCTGAATGCAAGACCAACCGAAAATAGATTATGCCGCGCGTTAGCTGAAGCTGGAGTGTGGAAACCCCCTCTGGGCTGTTCGTCAGACTTTGCGTTGTGCATCTATTTCTGCCACTGCTGTTGGCACAGCCAGCGGGCACTGAGGTGTGAGCTGAGCAAGGCCTAGGGTTGCCAACTCCAGGTGGGGGATTCCTGGAGATTTGTGGGTGGGTCCCGGAGAGGGCCAGGTTTGGGGGAGGGGAAGGGCGTCAGTGGTATATAAGGCCACAGAGTCCACCCTCCGAAACGGCCATTTCCTCACAGGGAACTGAGCTGTGTAGTCTGGAGACCAGTTCCCACCTGGAGGTTGGCCACCCTACCAAGGCCTGATCAGCTTTGAAAACACGCAGAATGGGATTTTCCGGAGCCTCTTTTCCTCCGAGCTGCAAAAGACGGACTGGAAGCCAGAGCCATGTGCAGCACAGCAGATGCGTCCCTGTTCCCCCGTGAGTGGGGAGAGATGTTAGCAGGCCTCTCATGCAAGAGGGCAGGCACCTTGGACTCCTCCGGCCTCTCTTGCCATAATTAGCTGCAATAAGAGACATGCCGGGAGATCCCTGATCCGAGACTCTAAAGCAGCTTTAGCAGAGAGAGAGAGCTCCCACCTGCGGCCCTGCGGCGAGGCTGAAAGAGAAGCAGGCTGTCTTGCTGGGTCAGAGAGAATTCTGCCGGTCTTGAAGAGGAACATGAATGTTACATTTAATGGTCGTTTCTGGAGCTTTTTTCCACTGGCCATGTTTTAGAGATCTCTTCTGGACACTTGCTTTAGCGCCGGAGGCGAAGGAGAAGGACCTTAGCAGAACACAGAATGGTCATCTGGGGGACTGCGTGTTTGAATGGTGCGTCCCATCAATTAGTCCCCTTGCATGTAGAAAGCTAGCAGATCAGGGAGAGCTGGACTGAAATCTTTGTCCCAAATGGGCTAGCTGCTTGAAGGGCAAGGTGACTTAGAAGAAGAGTTGGATTTATACCCCACCCTTCACTCAGAGTGGCTTACAATCTCCTTCCCTTCCTCCCCCCACAAGAACCCTGTGAGGTAAGGTGGGACTGAGAGAGCTCTGGGAGAACAGTTCTTCAGAGAACAGCTCTGAGAGAACTTGTGACTGACCCAAGGTCACCCAGTTGGCTGCGTGTGGAGAATTAGGGACTCAAACCTGGTCCTTCCAGGTTAGAGTCTGCTGCTCTTAGCCACTACACCAAGTTTGGTTACTGGGTCAGTCGGGAGCAACAGAGCTTCCTAGGCCAGGGAACAGAGTCCAGAGTGGGTTTAGAGTTGAAGTTCAGGACTGGAGTCCAGCAGTCCGGAGAGCAGATCTGGGAGCAGAAGGAAAGCAAAAGCAATTTATTGTTTTCATGCCGCCTGGTGACCTTTGGTTAAGGACACTGGATTCATTTGTAATTGATTAAAAGTAAAATCCTTGGCTAAAGCATATAGAGAAAGAAAGGGGGGGAAGGAGAAATGGCCTTTTGTTTCCTTGGTCTTCTGGCAACTGCCCCTAAAGCAGGTGAAAAGGGGGGTTGCCAACTTCCAGGTGGTGCCTGGAGATCTCCCAGAGTCATACCTGGTCGCCAGACTACAGAGATCACTTCCCTGGGAGACAACGGCAGCTTTGGAGATGGGCTCTATGGCGTCACGTCCCTGGTGAGGTCCCTCCCTTCCCCAAACTTCTCCCCTTCCCAGGCTCTGCCTCAAAACCTCCAGGAATCTTCCATGCGGAAGTTGGCAACGCTAACAAAAAGCTTAATGGGGGGGGAGGCCTTGCCATTGCTGAGAAGCTGTGGTTCAGCGGTAGAGGAGGCAAAAAGACCCAGGGCCCAAAGGTCTCAGGCATGGGTGTTGGGAGAGACCCCAGTCTGCCTGGAGAGCAACTGCCACTTAGAGTAAGGGTGTCAAACATGCGGCCCGGGGGCTGGATGAGGCCCCCGGAGGGCTTCTATCAGACCCGCAGTGGAACTGGCTGCCTTCTGCTTCTTCTTCCAGTTCTGCTGCTGCTGCGTCATCGTGGGTGTGCAGCTTACAGATACACACCCGAACAGCATACTCGAGATTGCAACAGCACAGACATCTTGAGGCAATAATTCAGAGCAAGAGGTGTCAGTTATCAGACACCGTTAAATAAACAAAATATTGCAGAGAGTGCTAATGTTTTAAGCATTTCTTTATTTTAAGTGAAAATAAAACCCCTCTGTGTCTGTGTCCTTTGTAAAGTTTGTATCTCCGCTACCTGGCATTACATGTTATGACACACGTGGTTCGGCCCAACAAGGTCTCATTTATGTCAGATCCGGCCCTCATAACAAATGAGGTCGACACCCCTGACTTAGAGGGACCAGTAGTGTGCCCTGTAAGCTGAGTTAATGTGAGCCAGCTCACAGTTCTTTAGCCTCTGGCTCACACATTTTTGTCTTTGCTCAGGAAGGAGGGCTCCAGAGCAAACTAATTTCTGCTGCAGCCAAATCGCTCGCTCACAGCTTTAATGCCAGTAGCTCACAAAGTAGAATTTCTGCTAACAAGACTCCAGAGCTTAGAGGGAGCATTGATATATAGTGGAAAACCTAACATAGTGGGAAATCATGCCATATGTCCCTATGTGATCTGAAGTGCTACAGTCCTGAATGGAGTATACACCACAGGACTGTTATCATGTTGCGGCAGGCTAACTGGAAGGCTGCAGATGGGCATTGTCCGACCTTATCGACTGAAGCGGGGTGCCCTCTGTGTCTTGCCCGGACAGCTGCCTGTTGGCGCTTGCGTTCCATAGCCAAGCCTGTAACAAGGAGAAATCGGAAGCTACTAAGGAGCGCCAGACATGTGGTGCCCGCAGAGCGGAGGCTCCATCACGACTGTCAAGCAAGCAAGCAGAACGTGAGGCTCTTTGTATGGCACAGTCCCTTGAGGAAGGCCGCAGACAGCTTGTAAAAAATGTCTAGCCCTGCTTGGAACTATCGGCTCAGCCACAAAGCAGTAGGAAAGAGCAGGAGTCCAGGAGCGCCTTAAAGACTAAGAACATTTGTGGCAGGGGAGGAGCTTTGTTGAGTCACTTCTTCAGCTGCAAAGCAGCACCTGCAAGAACTGGGCTAGACACCCTGCCCCTTGAGGCTCACGTGGTACCTTCTGCGCTATCTTTTAGGCACCGGGCCCGAAGACATCTTTTAACCCAAGCTCATGAATGACAGCCAGTTTGGTATAGTGGTTAGAAGCGCGGACTCTAATCTGGGAGAACCGGGTTTGATTCCCCGCTCCTCCACATGCAGCTGCTGCTGTGACCTTGGGTCAGTCACAAGTCCTTCCAGAGCTGTTCCCTCACGAGCAGTTCTCGAAAGAGCTCTCTCAGCCCCACCTTCCTCACAGGGTGTCTGTTGTGGGGTGGGGAGGGAAAGGGAAAGGAGACTGTAAGCCGCCCTGAGACTCTTTTGGGTAATGGACGGGGTTTAGAGCCAATCTCTTCTTCTTCTTCATTACAGGTTTTATGATTCACTTCTGGTCTGTGGTCTGATTCGGGGATAGTTTTAGGCTGTTTTATGCCCTCTGGGCTTGTTTGTAATGGCTTTGTTGTCTGTCAAGACAGATTCATGGCGGAGAGAGGTCCATCATGGCGACTGAGGGGAGCCTCCATCTACAGAGGCGGCAAACCTCTGCATGCCGGCGCTGAGAGGCGTCAGGAGCAGTAGAGAAAGGGCCTCGGCCTCTGTGCCGTTTGGCCCTCCAGAGGAACGGTGTGAGACCGGATGCTTATCTAGAGAGAGCACTGGTCCAATCCAGCAGGGCTCTGTCCGTGTGCTTATGTCCTTTGATAGTGAACTTATTATTTGAATTAGGGGCTGCGGTGGCTCAGTGGTTAAGATGCTGAACTGCAGACCGGAAGGACGGTAGTTCGGCAGTTCGAGACCCGAGTGCCGCATGACGGGGTGAGCTCCCGTCTCTGGTCCCAGCTCCTGCCAACCTAGCAGTTCGAAAGCAAGAAATTGCAAGTAGATAAATAGGTACCTCTTCGGTGGGAAGGTAACAGCGTTCCGTGCACCTTGGCGTCTAGTCATGCCGGCCACATGACCACGGAAATGTCTTCGGACAGCGCTGGCTCTTCGGTTTGGAAACGGAGATGAGCACCGCAACCCTAGAGTCGGATTCGACTGGCTTTCGAGCAAGGGAAACCTCTGTCTTTACCTTTATTATCTGAATTGCACGCCTCCTTGGGTAGGGCTCCAAAGAGGTGGCATAGAAACCTCCCAATTATACCACACAAGCGCCTGCCTCCCCACATGCCTGACGGTCCCTCTCCTCCCCCTTCAGATGCGGAGCACCAGGAAAGTGTCGGTGTGGCCGGTGGCCTTTGTGGGGGGCTTGCGCTACGAGTCGCCCAAAGTCAACGCCGCCGGGAAGGTGTACGGCTGGAAGACCGTCTTCGACCCTCACCGGCCCTTCGCCATCGACATGGCGGGCTTCGCTGTCAATCTCAGGCTCATCCTCCAGAGACCTCAGGCCTACTTCAAGCTGCGGGGGGTGAAGGGCGGCTACCAGGAGAGCAGCCTTCTCCGGGAGCTGGTGACCCTGAACGACCTTGAGCCCAAAGCTGCCAATTGCACTAAGGTACCCCCGTCCTGGATTCAATATCGAGGAAGCCGCGGCCTCTGCTTGGCAAGGCCCGAGCGAGGCTGCTCAAGGTACAAGTTTTCGGGTGCACGCCCACTTCTTCGGGTACAATGAAATGGAAATCACAGAATGGGAATAACAGAGAAGGACCAAACAATCTCCCCTGTCCCCAACTCTTCACAGCCAATCGCGCACCCCTCAAAGAAGAGGGTGGCTTCAAGAGGGAATTAGATAAACATATGGAGCAGAGATAGAATAACAGAATCACAGAATCATAGAGTTGGAAGGGGACATACAGGCCATCTAGTCCAACTCCCTGCCCAATGCAAGACCAGCCATCAGTGGCTATTAGCTACAAGGTATAGATAGGGACTCTGGGGCAAGTGATGCTCTGTATTCTTGGTGCTGGGGGGGGCAACAGTGGGAGGGCTTCTAGTGTCCTGGCCCCACTGCTGGACCTCCTGGTGGCACCTGGTATTTTTGGCCAATGTGTGACAGAGTGTTGGACTAGATGGGCCATTGGCCTGATCCAACACTGGCTTCTCTTATGTTCGTAAGAAGATGTTGTAAGGTCACCTGCATGCTTGAGAGGAGATGGATGGAGCGTAATGGCAGGGTCTCAGTAAATTACTCTTAGCATTCCACAACTATTTTATTTATTAGACTTCTAACTGGCCCTTCCTTGCGCCACAAGGCTCAGGGCGGGTAGCAACAAGTTAAAAACTTGTCAAGGGTACATCTGCCCATCAATCTCCAGTTGTGACGTGTTTATTTCCTTCACTATGTTACCCACCCCCCAGGAATTAAACCCAAACAAATGGTAACCATATAAACTAAGCTTCTTATTCCTGTTTGGTCCTTGAATCTGTTGAGCATCTTTATTATGCTGTATGCTGATTTACTGCTCATCCTCTACCTATATGCATGGACTGGCAATTTCCATTTCATTGTACCTGAAGAAGTATCCAGAGTGAAACTTTTGTTGGTCTTAAAGGTGCCCATGGACTCAAGCTTGGTTCTGCCGCTTCAGACCCACGCGGCTGCCCCACCTGGATCTGAACAAGGCTGTTCCTGATAGGATGTTTTGGAGGTCATTCATTCATGAGGTTGCCATAAATCTGGAAGTGGCCAGCTCTGGGTTGAGAAATAACTTTTGGGGGGTGGAACGTGGAGAGGGTGGGATCTGGGGAGGGGCCTCAGCAGGGTCCCATGCCACAGAGCCCACCCTCCAAAGCAGCCGTTTTCTCCAGGGGGGCTGACCTCTGTAGCTTGGAGATGAATTGTAAAAGTGGGAGATCTCCAGGCACCACCTGGAGCTTACACTACGCAGGGACTGTTACTGTGATAAGTGCGCTAAACTAAATAATACAGTACTGCAGAAATCAGAAAAGATATGCTGTTTCAATAAGTTAAAGTGATATGCTTTTTTTACAAGGCTGGAATACAAAAATACAGTCAGTTTCAAATAAGCAGAAGTTGTTTTTAACGAAGCAAACGATGTTAGCGGCGTGCTCCGGAATGTCCTGTGTCGTTTCGACGTTCCTTCTTCTGAACAAGATTCTATTTCGTGCCTTAGCTACGATTTCTACTGGATAGCCTCTCCTCAGAAAATCTACCTGCATCCTAGAAGCTTCCTGATGGTAATCTTGTGACAATGTGGCATTCCTTTTCAGTGCTTTCTTAGTGGTAAGTTATTTAAACATTTTGAAAATGTATATTGTATAGGTAGTTCTTACTATAGTGATGGTTTGCCAATTTATTCTTTATAGACCTATGAAGAAAAAATATGTGAGCATCAGGCTTCATTTCTACTCTTATAGATGAGACAAAAACCTGGAAATTATCTGTATGTATAAGAATTTTTATTGTCTTCTACATTCATTGGGCTATTTGGATTGGAGTGTCCTTGAAGAAAAATCTTGTTGTAAATGTTTATTTGTAGATAAAATCTTGTTCAGAAGAAGGAACGTTGAAACGACACAGGACATTCCGGAGCACGCCGTTAACATCATTTGCTTCGTTAAAAACCACTTCTGTTTATTTGAAACTGACTGTATTTTTGTATTCCAGCCTTGTAAAAAAAGCATATCACTGTAACTTATTGAAACAGCATATATTTTCTGATTTTTGCAGTACTGTATTATTTAGTGTAGCGCACTTATCACAGTAACAGTCCCTGCGTAGTGTAATATCCATATACTGTGTACCATACTCTGCTTAACGCTACCTGGAACTTGACAACCCTTCTTGATGGCACATCACAAGCCCCGTTTTCTACTGGTGTTTTTGATTCCAGGAGCCAAGGTTATTTCCACCTATACTTAGCTGGAGGAGTACATGCTGGAGGAGAATGTATTTCATTGTTTGTTTCACAGCTGTGGACCTTCTGGCCTGGCCTGGGGATCTGTTCCACTTTCAAGTGGTCCCCGAGACCACATGAAAAGAGAGAAGAAAGCTGAAGAGCCTGTGCTTCCTTTGGAATTCCCACCATCTGCTGAAGAGACCAGCCTGTCTCTTAAAAAGTGGCTGGTCTCTTCAGCACCACAAGCGGCTGCAGTGGCAGTTCCAAAGAAACACTCTTCGCGTGCACTAGCAATGAATGAATTTGCTCCACCCAATTCTGCTCTGCAAAACACTGAGGCCGAATATTCTCTAAATGCTTTACACCTCTATTTGACACCCTAGCCTTTTTTTAAAAAACAAAAATGAAATCCAGGATATGGAATCAAGTAATAATAACTGAGCTATCCAACCACTGCAGGGAGGGTGATTGCTAGCTGTTCTAAGAACCTGTGGAGAAAATGCATGTGCTTCTCTTTTAAGCACAGAGTGAAATGCACTTCCAGTTTTGAATCTGGGCCGGGGAAACACCCCCCAAGTATTAAAAGTTGAGACCAAGCAGGTTTAAGAGCACCGTCCCGCTCAAAGTGCTGACTTTCTTGGCCTAAGGAGAGCAGACATTTGTTTTCAGCCAAGCTCCTCGCAGGCAAAACTGAACCAGCGGCTTTGAGTGGGGAATGGGATCGATTACACATGCAGTCCATTGCCATGGCAACAAGGCAAGAGCCCTGTCAAGGTGAGGAACATCGTCGGGGAAGTGTTGAAGGGGAACGGCAGAGCGAGCATTGCTCCAAAGGGACATGCCGTCTTCCATGGCCGTGGCAGATATTCAAGAGCAGGGCAGGAAGGGGTGTTTTGCGAAGGCGGGCACGATCCTGGCTTGAGCAGGGTAAGGGCTGAGTTGCCCCGCTTGAGGACTTGGCCCAGGTGGCCACAGTCCTGGCAGAAAACGAAGATGCCGCCCCCGTCTGTTGTTAACAGAGATACAAGCTACAGAGCTCCGTTCCCCTGGAGAAAACACAGAGATACATGTGCCCCAGTGAGCACTGAGGTCAGGGACACAGAGTCACCTGGCTCTCCGTGGCCCAAGAGATGCCAGGTTGGCCGCTACTAGAAGGGTGAATAGGACCCAGCAATTCAGATCAAACATGCAAAAAACACATTGCTGAACAAGTTCACAGTATAATGAATAAACAATGAAGATACTGCTTTAATTGTTGTTTTGTTTCAACAGCTGAATA